TTTGTGTGTGTTGGTTTTTCAAATTCTGAGTAATTATTTCATCTAATTTCGTATCAATGCTAATCTTTTCTATTTGATGGTATATATGCAATATATTCATTTTCACGTTGCAAGCGTGTAAATTGGCCTAGTATTTACCTCTTCACATTTCATATCTACCTAATTTGGGCCGGTTGGGTAGCCTTCTAGTATATACATATATATATATCAACACTGCATAGATTTTCTTTCTTTCTTTCCTTTTAACAAAATAGATAAATAAATTATAACCAGTACAAAGCATAAATTTATTATTTACCCACAATGATTTTGGAGATAAATCAATTATACTAATTAAATTATTTGACAAATATAACGTACCAAAACTTTTCCATGAAAATTGTTGTTCGTGATCGAGTCCCAACCGTTTGTTCTAATAACTAACCAGCATTTCACTGCTATCTTAACAAAATCTGTTAGATTTCTTGTCAATTTAAATTTTAAACACACAAATACAAAATTAATTCTTTATATTCCGAATTGCAAAGTGCATATAAGAAAATCTGTTAGATTTCTTCAAACATCTCCAAAGCAAATAAAGCCGCGTTTTCTATTCTTGTACATGATATTGATATCCCCAATACACCAATTAAAGAATCACCCTCAAACAAATAAGTTGATGAGTTTGAAAATCTTATCATCACCAATACTTTTGAGTTTGATCACTAATGGCTATTATCATACAAGATGAAGAAAGACTAAACAACCCCAGAAACAAGCGCAGCAGCATGAAAAAATTCTCTACAATCGAAGTCATACAAACTAAAGTTAAACATTTTACAGCACTATCACCCAAGAGAATGACCGGTGCTTGCATTTCATAGTTTATTCACGACAAGGAGCTTTTCGTATGAGAAGTAGGATGAGAATGGTCTTGTTTCCATAACCCAAAACATTGGAGACCCTGTACAAGGATTTGCATTTCCCACATGATGACAGAGGTACATTTCTCATAATCATTCTGCTTAACGCCAAGACGACAAATTTCCATGCTTTGGGAGCAGCGCACAGAGCAGCCATAAAGGAAAGGGAGATCTAGTTTACAGCATAATGTACGCGTTCAAGCAGTCTAACAACTTGATTAACCAGAACTCGTGTGGATGATTTGGAGGTGGACATAATGGTGGTTGGAGGTGTCAACACATCCTGTTGCTGCATGCTTGTGAGCTCCAAGAATTGCACCAAAATGTCACCATCGAGCATCTTGGTTATTCCGGCCTACTCATCCGATCGATTGAACAACAAAAAAACAAAGTTAGCTATTCATCTTCTTGTCTCACATAAACTTGGACCGAGGGTTGGCAAGATTGAGAAAGGACCAAAAGAGTGGAGTAAGTTCATTAAAGCTCACCCGACTTTCACGGCTTCTGAACTCACTGTGATCATTTCCCAAAATAGGAGCAGTAAGAGGGTTCTCCACTAGCCTAGCCTGGACATGTTTTAATAGCTCATATTCCTCTCTGCCAAAAATAATATTTAATGGAATAAGGCCAGCAATCATCGTAGGACTAAAAAGTACAATAATTGAATTATACAAGATTTTACAAATTATGAGCACATAGTAGTCACAAATACAATTATTATATGTTTTAGATTAGGCATAATAAGAAAGGATGTTCTGATTGAACCTTTTTCTTGGGTAGCAAAGGAATCACATGTCAACACTCAACAGTTCATCAATTCACCTTTGTCACTGAGGCGTTTAAAGAAATTAAAAGAAACAAGGAACGAGGCAAAACAAATGAACCTTGTCACTGGGATGAAGGTTACTATACTCCCCAATAGTGTTGATGCCATGATACAGTTACGCGACGAGTTAACATTATTATTGGTGCCATCAGAATCCTTCAACATATCATCAGCTGGGAGTTTGTATGAGAATGATCCCTATATGAGGACAAAATAAGAAAATGCAAGTCATGCAAAACAGAATTGTACTAGACACTTGAGAACTTGAAACAGATCACATAGCATTGAAGATGATAAAACCACAGCTTAACCCAGAAGATAATGACTTGGCTCCGTAGAAAAATATGCTTTTCGATCGCAACACCCAACCATTATATTAAAGTTCTTAGAAACTCATTTTTGCTCCAGGATGTTTGCAGTTCTGTTGCATAATTTCAACTCCTTAAATTTTTTACTGTAAACTCTTGAAAATGTTCTTTCTTGACATTCCTCATTCCAATTTTGTAATAAACAGTAATTAAGAAACCTAAACTCTTCTTCCTTTCATACTGATGTATGAGTTGCTTGGCTTCAATATATCATTCCTGTTATTGTTACTTTCAACAACAGTTGTATGATTCAAATCCAAGCTAAAGCAACACTAGCTAAAAACCATAAAATGCTCTCTTTCTGTAACTAGTGTTTGACAACTTCTCTGGTTACAATCACTAAATGAATCTTAATTAATAGAGCTCAGTTATTAAATGCCCTTTGTTTACTGGCAATAAAAAATCATCTTTGCATGAACCTGATATGCATATGTTCAGAGGAAACATTACCTTCCTCATGCTCATGGCAATCTCACCCATATAATATGAACAACTTAGAGTCAAGTTGCGTTCTGGACTTACATTATCTGCAACACAAAGTTATACAATACATAGATAACAGTTAGATGAAGGATCCAATGTGTTTAACAAAATAACAATAAGATGCTTCAATTGAATCATACAAGACCAGTTAGACAAATTTATCAAAACAATGATATTTTTTTTCATTTTATATAAACGAGGATATCCACTATGCAACGTAATTCTGTAACTCATATATTTTCCAGTTTACCATGGTTGTTGAACGAACTAGCATTGTACAAGGTTAGTTCAATCAGAATTACACACCAGTGCCACACTCTCCCACTTACCAACCAGGGAACACACAAGCTTGTACAATAGTTCATTTACCTTCAATAAAGGAGCCTGTCCACTAAGGGTCACAATTATGTGCATATCTCTCCGGAACTAGTTTCAATTACACTACCTCAAAGCTCAACCACAAGGTTTGTCCAATTAATGCATATTATGAGGAGTCGCAGTAATTGTCCGAAAAGATCAAGGCAAGCACGAGAGTTCTATTCTTGAAACAAAATTTAACTTAAACTTAAATCCGAGTTAATACACTAGTGTGGATTTTTTTTTTTTTTTTTTTTTTTTT